AAAAAATTGGAGTGAAAATGAGTTCGTAATGAAGGCACTTTGCGTCCTTGAACTGTAAGAGGAGGAATGGGTGAAATACACAGTACCTCCATGGAGTGGGAAGCACTTGAATCTCAGTTTCCGGGGAGAATCTGAGAAGAAGAGTTGTGGGACTTGCCTAAGCCCACAGTTTGTACATTTATTGGTTCCTCAGTTACTGTCTGGAGAAAACTCTTATGCTTGTTATTTTGCAGGCTGCCTTAAACCAATGTGGCAAGATGTGACCTGAGTGGACTGGGTGTCGCATGCTCCAGTTTCTTCTATGAGGGAGTAGAGCAAATGGTGTCCCTTGTGCTCAAGATGCACCTTGTGCATTTGTGAAGGAGACAGAGAGACACTTTTAGCTTCAGGTTTTTCATAAGCAAAGGCAGGGAGAATATTGAAAAAAAATTTAATTTGCTGCTTGCCTCTGCTGACCTAGTCAATAGAAAAGATACTCAAACCATAGGCAGCAAGCGGGAAGCAGAAGATGGAAGAGGTGCATATAGGCAAGGGAAGATGTCAAAAGAATTGTAATTAGCCAGAGCTAGTATCAGAATGCGCAGCACATCTACAACTAAGATTTCATGTGGAAAAAACAAAGTAAACAACTGGTAGGAACAATTAATGCTGCACGTGCAGTACCCTCTGTACTACTACTACTTCTTTTTGGAACCAAAGGGGGAGTATTTTACCTGTAAGGTAAACTTTTTATTAAACTCAGCTTTTAACTAGGCTTCATGGCTTAGTTGATTTATGCACTGCCTTGTGCTAACTCCATTAAAGGTTTCTTTGACTCTTCCTTGAAACGTTTTTAATTTGATAATCAAGATTCTGCCATTCTCTCTGTGCTCCATCATAATACCAGCTCAAAGCATGGACCTGTGACTTAAGACCTAAGTTCAAAAGAGCCACCCCGCGGCCAGCATACGGTCCTGGCTGCGCGTGTGCCACGTAGCCAGTCTGCACAGGAGCAGCAGGCGCTGAGGAGCTGCCTTGCTGGGCAGCCTCAGAGCCCTTCCCTGCGGCTGTACGCCTCCTCCGCCTGTGTGATGGAAACGTGCTCTGAGTGTGCAGAGCAAGGCAAACTCAGGACACTTGTGCTTTTGCACGTGGTGACCGTGCTCCCCAACGTTTTGAAGTCAGCTTTCTGGAGTTGTCAGTAGCAACCACCATCTCACCGGCAGAAGTAAATAGCCATTTTTGTAGTGTTCCCGCTTCTTGTGCACATGAACGTTTTTGTTTTTATCCCTCCTTTATTCTTTTTCAGGTCATTTTGATACAGTTTGAATTTCTTACCAAATATTGTCTTTATCTTCTTCTATAACTGTATGTGCGTCAACGCTAAGAGGAAAAAAAGAAGAAAGTAGCGTTACATTGTTTGAGATGCATTATTTTACTGGCTAAAGAAAATGAAGTATAATTGGAATGGTGGTCTCATTTCACTGATTGAACTGATACAGAAAAAACCTACAGTAGCAGTTTGCTTTTGCTAACAGCCAACCCTTTATCCCTTTCAGTAACTTGTTTATGATTTTTAAATTTCTGGTTTTTATATCTTCAGTACGTTCATCCCCAAATCCAGACCTGTTTTGTTCTGCCTAATTGCTGAAAGTATTTTGGAGGCATCGCAATTTTTTTTCCTTTTGGCCTTGAAATACAAAGACATTCTTTTTCATTCTTGCAATCAGCAGCAGAAACCTGAAAGCTGACACCAAGCGCAAAAGCATTACCTGAGTGGTAATATACTGTGTGGACTCGAATCAGTGTCCCCAAGAGGATAGTAACTAACAGCTTTTGCTTTAGTCTGTTGAACTACTTGGGGTTTTTTTTGAAGGGGGAGGTTGGACCCCCTTATGTCCTTGCGTTTGTAGCATTCTTGTCCTTTTCCCCTGGGAGAAGTCAGTAAAATGTTTTAACTGAGGAGAACAGAAGCAAAATAAAAGCAGCTATGCACGCTACATCTCTGTTAAGTAAACAACTTTGGACTGCAGAGTTGAAGAGACATTGTTATGGAGCACTGTTGCATAAACAAGCCAGCACTGCCTTTCTGAAGTCTCTGACCTCCGGACAGAAGAAAATATTTATGTAGGGGGGCAATGCTCTAATGATGTGCATCTTGTGAGGGTGAAAGTAAGGTTCTTAAAATTAGAGTTATCAATTGATGGTGCCTGAAAGGGCTATTTCCTGGTGCGTGTTGAACCTGTCAAAATTTTAGTTGTATTTATTGTATTGTCCTGTTAAGACTGACTGGAATAGGAAGAAAGCAATTTGAGTGACATTATATTTAATCCCAACCTGTAATACGATTGTAGCGGTCAGAATGGGTGCTAGTAAAATAAAAAGTGGATGTAGGGAGAAAAACATAAAATGCAATGAAACAGTTAAGCGCGTGAATTTAAGAGACAAGGGAGTGCTTCTTGCCTTCTTCCTGTGCTGATGCTTGTACTGCATCCTGTTGGTCCCTCCAGAAGTGCCTGCTGTCTTACCTTGTAATCCCAGTAAGTTCCATTGCACCGCAGTGCTATCAAAGCTGCTGTTGCCTAACCTGTGACTATATAGTTCCGCTGTATCTGTTGCATCTTTTTCTTTTGTTTTCTTCTAGCAGTGCTAACTGACGCTGTCTCCCATCACATCCTCATATGTAAACTCAGGAAGTGTGGGTTGGATGAGTGGACGGTGAGGTGGATTGAGAACTGGCTAGATGGCAGAGCTCAGAGGGTGTGGTCAGTGGTGCAGAATCTAGTTGGAGGCCTGCAGCTAGCGGTGTCCCCCAGGGGTCAGTACTGGGTCCAGTCTTGTTCATCGATGAATACAATGACCTGGAGGAAGGGACAGAGGGCACCCTCAGCAAGTTTGCTGAAGATACTAAACTGGGAGGAGTGGCTGACACAGCAGAAGGCTGTGCTGCCATTCAGAGGGACCAGGAGAGGCTGGAGAGCTGGGTGGAGAGGAACCTCCTGAAGTTCCACAAAGGCAAGTGCAGGGTCCTGCACCTGGGGAGGAATCACCCCATGCACCAGGACAGGCTGGGGGCTGACCTGCTGGAAAGCAGCTCTGCCGAGAAGGACCTGGGAGTGCTGGTGGACAACAAGTTGACCATGAGCCAGCAATGTGCCCTTGTGGCCAAGGAGGCCAATGGTCTCCTGGGGTGCATGGGGCAGAGTGTTGCCAGCAGGTGGAGGGGGGTGATCCTGCCCCTCTCCTCAGCCCTGGTGAGGCCTCCCCTGGAGTACTGTGTCCAGTTCTGGGCTCCCCAGGACACGAGAGACATGGCACTGCTGGAGAGAGTCCAGCGGAGGGCTACAAAGAGGACGAGGGGACTGGAGGATCTCTCCTCTGAAGAAAGGCTGAGAGAGCTGGGCCTGCTCAGCCTGGAGAATAGAAGACTTGAGGGGGAATCTCATCAATGTGTACAAGTATTTGAAGGGGGGGGGGGTGTCAAGAGGATGAGGCCAGACTCTGTGGTGCCCAGCAACAGGACAAGAGGCAATGGGCATTGACTGAACCACAGGAAGTTCCATCTGAAAATGAGGAAAAACTTCTTGGCAGTGAGGGTGGCAGAGCACTGGAACAGGTTGCCCAGGGAGGCTGTAGAGTCTCCTTCGCTGGAGACATTCAAAACCCGCCTGGACGCGATCCCGGGCAAAGTGCTCTAGGTGTCCCTGTTTGAGCGGGGGAGTTGGACAAGATGATCTCCAGAGGTCCCTTCCAACCTTGGCCGTTCTGTAATGTTCAGGCTAAACCATTACAGTTCTACAGAGTCCTATGTGGCATGTTGGAATTGCATGGAGTGTCCCTGTAATTTCCTTTTTCCTGGATGAGCTAAGCAGATTGGACTGAAAGTAGGCATAAATAGTGTTAGATAATTTATGTAGGCAAATTTAGGTTTAGGGGGAGTACAGAGCACTTACCAGCTTCCTTTAGGTGCCAGGGAGTTTACATAGTGTAAGGCAGCAGTGACTCTAAAAGTGAGGACGAGGACATACGGGGATGTATGACTTGTATGTCATAATGTTTGGTATTTTGCAGAGGATCGTAGATGTCTTAAAGTATAGCTTTTGTAGAAGAACTAAAGACAACTGTTGACTTAAGCAGAGGACGCTGCAGTGCAAAGAGGCAATGCATTTGTAGAGCTGCAGTCAGATGAGAGCTGGTGCAAAACTGTGGCTTGAAAGAGCCATAGTCTGCTTCATTCTGTGTACTGACTGGCTCTCTGCTTCAGTGGTTTGCAATAAAAATAGACTTTTGGTTCATTTTTTCCACGGTTTGGAGTGTAAGCACTTCAGAGGATCTGCAGACAGGGATCTTCAAGCTGAGCATGCTGAGAAGTGTTGGGCGGTGCTTCAGCTTAGCCCTTCCGGGGTAACCTGTCTTTTTGTGGGATTGCATATCTGGTGAAAAGTTGGCTTTAAGAGCATAAGCAAACTTTTTAGAGGATATTCTGCCCTGGTAAACTTCTATTGTATGAAAAACTGTGTAGGCCGATTAGATGTTTTCTATTCTCATATTATAGTGTCTTATGTATCAGTTGCTATGGACAATAGCTTGTTTTAGGATGAACATGAATTCAGCTGATTTTTAAAGAATATTTGCTGAGTATTTTTCTACTGATGTAGTACTTTAAAAAATATGCATTAAGAATAATGCTTACTCAGCTCTTTATTTCATGAGTTACATGCAAGTTTCACCAGCTAAATGGAAGGAAAAAGATGCATTAACATTAAAACTACCTTGTGTCTATTCACTGTGTTATATAAAGCTGTTCCTTTTATAGTGTATGTTTTTAGCAGAATCACAAAGTTACAGTGCTACTTTTGGCACTGAATTTTGTGCTCGTCCATTCTTTTTGATGATTTGTATTCACTGAGGGCTTATAATGTTAAACAAGGGAATCAGACATGTTTCATAACACACTTTCTGTAATATGATACTGTGAAGTAAATTTGCTGTTATTTATCTTTATTTTTCTCTTGTTCCAGCATAAAGCCAAGGTAGAAGCAATGACCTTAGACCTTGCTTCTCTTCACAGTGTGCAGCACTTTGCTGAAGCATTCAAGTCCAAGAATGTGTAAGTACTCAGAAGATTACATGTAATAATTTCTTGTTATTTTAATGTCTTAATCAGCTGAGCACAACTGGCAGGATTTACCCCAGCTGGACTGCTCAGAAACTACAGTAGGTGAATAAGCTTTTCTCAGGAATTGCTTTCTTGTGTACGTGTTTTTACATAAATTGAAGACTATTTGTTTTTATCTTAGGAAATAATCAGCGATGGGTATTAATTATTTTTATGCAGCCTCACCTTTAATGGGAGCATGAAAAAGGCCAAAACTAAATTATCAAAAACAGCTCAGACAACTCCTATCAGTTTTCCAGTGGTTTGAAAAAAGCCTGGGGTCAAGGACCTGTCTCTGGAATAGTTTGCAATTAAAAAAAGGGGAGGTTGGGAGAGGAGGGATAATGGCATCACTTAACAATTGGCCACTTTATATTGAAAGATTATATGCCTTCCAAATGTTCTGTTTAATTTAGCTTGAAAAGAACAATGAATCACTAAATTGAAGAAATGATTTGGAATCTTTAAGTGCCAACTCTTGGCAATAAATTCCACACTTTGTGCTCTTATCCACAGTTGGACCCATTGTATCTGATTTTCGTGACTATTCAAACTTAGTTTTTTTTCTGCAAATATTTCTGTAACACATATACCTCTTACTATACTTCTCAAGAGAATAAAGCCTCTTAGACAGCTTTGAAAATATATTGTGGTAGGGAAAATACATATAAAAGAATGATTTTTTCACTTTTGAAATACTGCCAAAGCTAAATCTCACATGGATAGACAGATGACATTTTAGTACTTACTCGTCTTTTAGATTCAAGGAATTGTCAAAACTGGAGTTCTAACGCCATTTCCTTTACTGCCAAAAATCCTTAGTAACAATGTTTTTTTTTTTTTATTTACCATATAGCATCTTCATATATTAAAACTTTCTTAAAATATTAAGACAAATGCTGCTTGCAGCATTGCTGCTTTATTACTAGCTCAGTGTCATAATATGAGAACAGGCAAGTGTTTTAATTCTGCTTCTTTGTGCTTTTTGGTATGCTGCATTTATTTAAAAACAGGATATTGTACAGTTAAAAGTTGAAACATCCTTCTTCCAAATGCAGCTCTTAACTTGATTTGTGTGTTGCAGATCATATCATGGTCATCGTCTTGAGTCCATTTGGCATGCATCTTGTAAATCATTAGAAGTAAACAGTCAAATGTTGCTGGAGAAATTAGAAAATGAAAACCTTATATTGAATGACACTTAGAAAATGAGAAGATGCAGAAAATATAAAATACGTAAATTCTGTTTTACTTTTGTTGGTATACGTTGTTTTACCAACATATGTCTGTTTAGCTGTGTTATGTTCTCAGTAATGGATAAGTTTTATTAGTGTTTCACTCATTTTATTTTGAAAAATGTAGTAGGCAATGTTTTTAGTCTCTCTCTTGCCTTCAGGTATTTGTATCTTGAGTCTGTGCTTGTGTGTGTGTGTGTCTGGCAGGACTTCTTGAAGCATTACAGAGAAGTTTAAGGTCTGTATCTATTGTGAGGCTTGTGGGATTTTAACCAAAATGAATTTTCAGCTATATTTTGTTTAAACTCTGAAGTTGGATGGAAACCAGGCCCCACACACTGCCTGTAGCAGTAAATCTTTTATCTGATATGGATATAGAAGAGTTACCTTACAGTTATCTGCACTGGCAGGACTATGGACTAGAAGATCTCCTGAGTCTTTCTGGCTCTGATTTTTTTTTTGATTTAACAATGTCTGGATTAGGTCAAAAAGCAATTATACAGCAATAGCATGTTGTTAGTGCAATGCCAGCTCTGGGTGTCTTCTGGCTCTCATATACACTAACTACTTTTGTCTCTTCATGTGCTTGTTTTGCAGTAGTGTTCTGAAGCTTTTGTCAGATCAGTCATTCCTTTGCATTAGTAGCTTTATGAGAAGTAGAAGGAAATCCTGTGGATTCAGTGACAGATGGAGTCTTGTTCTATATGCTTTGGCAAGTTTGTAAGCGGGTAGCCTGACTTTCATAGGGCTTTGGTATCTCTGATTTCAGGCATACCTTGATCGGTGCATTCTCCCCAGTTCCAGTGTGCTAGCTATAAATCATGTCAATGAACACAGGAGATGTGTGATGTCAGCGCGGAGTTTTCATCCTTACAAAATTCCTAGTACTTTAACAATAAAGTAGTAGAAAAAGAGAAAAAGAAAGTTTTATTTTTTTCTTTTTCTAAACAAAACGATCAATTGAGTTCTGAGTTCTGTAGAACTTGGTTTCTGGGACAAAAATGCAGTAATTTTAAAATATGAAAGAGAAATTTTATACATACACACACTTCATAATAAAAGTCTATATATTTATTTCAACACACTGTATGAAGAGGCTTTATGTGGTGAACATCTTAAAACTTCTGGATGTAGACGGTTTTCTTGTCTCTTTAACTTCCCCAACTCACTATTGCTTCCTGGACACTTAGGTATTCTCCAGAATCTGTTGATCTAGGTGGCCTAATAATTGAAACCTTATAAAATAGAACGTAGATTTGCTTGGCTATTGGAATTCTAGTCTGTTGGGACACTTTGTGGCTCTGGATAATATTTTTGGAAGCAGCTATAAGGATGTACTTATAGTCACATCTCTGGGAGCAGGTTCTTCCCTGGCTGACAGCAATTTGGAAGAGTCTTAAAGGACTGTGTGTTTTACAGATCTTTTTCTGGATGAGGAAATTAAAATGCAGTTACTGCAGAAAAAGTCCCTAAATTTCATATACTTAATATATCAAAACCTATTGTAGCCTTGGAATGGGGGTCAGGGGAATAAAATTGCGAAGATAGTAAATCTCCTGTATCAAACAAATAACTTGCAGAGAGAGAACTGCCCTGTTGAATGTGTTTGAGAATCTGAGAGATTCTGG